GGAGTAATGCTGGAGTAATGCTGGAGTAATGCTGGGGTAATGCTGGAGTAATGCTGGAGTAATGCTGGAGTAATGCTGGAGTAATGCTGGGGTAATGCTGGGGCGTTTTGGTGGCGATTCCGTGTGAATGGAGGAGCGCTTTGCGCCGTCGTAGCCGATCGGCGCCTCCACCGAGCGGAAAATCACAATTTCCTATCGTTTCATGTCAAAAAAAACAGAAACAAGCGGAACGCGCGCGAATGGATCAAAAAAAACACAAACACCAAATACACACCACAAAAAAAGCATGTCGTGCTTGAAAACGCCCGCACGCTAACATTGTGTTACGATGGCAGTCGCACCGCGCAAAGTCAACGCGTTGTCTCGCGCGCAACGCGCAATCGCGGCGTCGGCATCGCCGCGGGCGCGCCATGGGCATGCGAGGCGTACGTTGGCGCGCGAGATAGCTGGTTGCGGCGACGCAAAGGGCCGCAAACTGCTATCTCGCGAGCCAACGCCGCCCGCGATGCGAACGGCACGTCGGCAGCGACGCGAAAGCCACAGCAGCGGCTGTGCACAAGACAAAAACGTTGACTTCGCGCTGCGCCCTTGCCGAATGCCAAAAAGCCTTCCAAGTTCCAAGTCGCTGCGTTCAAACAAAAACGCTTCTTCCAAGTCAGAGCGGCAGGATAGCGTCGCCTGCTGCAGCCGCCCACGGCATGGAGCCGAGCGCCAGCCATGCGTAGCACGCTGGCCACCTTGGGGCGGCGGGGGATGAAAAGGGGATTGCGCGGGAAGGGCATGCACAACACATAGAAATTTCGAAACATGCGTGGACGGACGCCTGCGAGGGAGACATGCGACATGGAAAGCAATGGAACGAACGCCAGGGTCACACGCGAGAACTGGGTAATAGTCGTGCATGTTACGTGCGCAGCAACATGTCATGCGCGTTGTGCATGGACGGTCGCTCAGCGCCCGTCAACTCCCAGCAACGCCGTGCTCCCTTGCAAACGATTCTGCAATGTCTTGATATTGAGGCCTTCCAGCACCGTGCTGGCGAAGATTTGCACGATCATTGGTGGACGTGTTCATTTTCAGTGCTCCACGCGTTTCCACGCGACATGCATTGCAATGTTTTTGGGAAAGCACGTGTGCCGATAACCGCATGCACCGATAAGCTGGTAGACATACACATGAAATGGAAAGCACTGTAAGTCGGTTGGATCTCCGCTCGCCCCCTGATGGCTTAAAAAAAGGAAGACGGACAACCGATCGACGAATGAAGTAGGTAGGAAGACGCCTACAGCACATTGACATATGAAAATCAAAGATACCCGCGTTCAACGTTTCAACGACTGGTGGGTAGCCTATGATGAATTTGTAAATCAACATTGCAATGTCACGAACAGTTTCTGCAGTTCGACCCAAAGACGCATGCGCGGTGATCTTCGTATGTAAGCGAAGGCGCCCATGGGCTATACTAAACATGTCTTTAGGTGAATGGTGCACCACGAGCGCACGCACGCACATTGGACGCATTCCGCGCAGCAGTAGCACGACAGAATAATGAGGAGGGAAGTAAAGTACAGAGGGCATCATCAACAATGAAACTGATAACTGCGAATGCAAACATGGAACGGGGAAGACATTGCAACAGGGACAGGAGGTATGAACAGGTGCGGCAGTGGAGAAGCGACCAGGCTAGATAGAACCTGGGACGCGATGGACAAACATGATAGAAAATGGCAGGGTGGTCGACGCATTAGCGTGGCATTGAGGAAGGGCGGATGGGTGGCCCCTACAACTGCCCCAACCCTTGCGACCACCGCCGCTGGCGCTGAAGCCGTTGCTCCCGTCGCGGTGGCCGCGGTGGTAGGCGGCGGGGTAACCTGGCAGCGCGATGGAGGGGGGGGTACATGTACATGGAGATGGAGCGAGTGATAACGGCTATCTTGCTGCCACGGGGTGGCCCGCGCGAGCCCTTAGCCCTTACTGGGCCTCCAACTCGTGGAAATGGCAACAGTTGCTGGTCAGCCATTCAGCTGGACTGGACCTCCCAGGAGCTTCCGAAAGTGCAACAATCGCGCAGTTAGCAGCGCCTTGGGAGTTCTGGGCTGCCTGGGTGGAACTTTGGGTCAACGTGCGCCACCACTCCGCTGGACCTCTCATGAACCCTGGAAAGTGGGGCGCAAGTGTCGGACGAAGAGGTTTATGGGCAGAGTGGGAGGTATGGCAACACGAGGGGTAGCAACGTGCCTCTCCGCAATTCGAGCACCCGACCGAAATTAAGATTGGGACACATGTGAAATCTAAGCTGGGAACAGGGTTGCCAGCTCGGTCGAAAGCATTGCCCCGAGCTACGATCACGTCGGCGGCCGCGCATGAGCCGCGATCTCCGCTGAGCTGGCGCTTGTGCCGCCAAAGATCACTGAGCTTCCCATCCCACGTCCCACGATCATCATAATCATTCTCCTCCCTCGCTCAACCTCGCTCCCCGCGGCGCGCGCCCGCCTGTCGCGGCGAACGTGAACGCGAGCTGCTCTGACGGTCACCCTGACCCGAGCGGCTCGAGCGGGGGCCCCCAGGCCGAGGCATCATCACCTGGCGCCGGCGCGGGCCGCAGGGGCAAGGGAGATCCGACGAGACAGAAAGCGACGCACGATGCTCATGCGGTGAAGAGGGCCTCGGTGGAGGAGGAGGGAGGGACGGGGGCGGCCCAGGACGATCCAGGATACGCGAGTCCAACAATCCAGCAGTCCAGCAAACACTCGAGGAGGAGGCGGAGGAGAAGGATGAGGTTCCAGGGAAACAGGAGAGTTGGAGGGGGGCGCTTTCTGGACACGACGCATGGGTGCCATGGCCGCTGCGGAGCTCAGAGGCTCACCTCAGCCTAGTTCGATCAAATTTGATCTCTACTTCTGCCGCGCGGGACCCAGGGAAGGAAAAGGGCGACGATTACTGGCGAAGAGGGTGATAAGATGAATTAGTCTGATGGTAGCGATGGTGGCGATAAAGACGACGACGACAACGATGATGATAACGATGACGATGATGGTGATGATGATGATGCTGATGATGATGATGATGCTGATGATGACAATGATGACAATGATGATGCTGGTGATGATGATGATGATTATGATGGCGCGTGTGATGCTGACGATGATGGTGATGATGATGTTACTTATGCTGATGCTGCTGATGATGATGATGACGATGATGATGAGGATGATGCTGATGATGATGATGACTGGGCTGGTTGTGACGATGAATGGTGCTGGTTATGGTGGTGGCGATGATGATGATGATGACGACGATGACTTTGACAATGGCGATGGTGATGATGACGCTAGTTTAGTGATGGAGGTGGTGATGACGGCGATGGTGATGACGATGGCGATCATGATGACGATGGCGATGGTGATGAGGATGAGAATCGTGAGCATCATCATGATCATGATCATGATGCGTTGATGGTGATGATGATGGCAAAGGCGATGATGTGGGCTACGGACAAGACGACGATGACGATGATGATGCGGATGAGGATGAGGGCACTTCAAGAAGCCCGACGGCCGCGCCGCCCGCCCGACTGGCCAGAGAATCGGTTTCTCTGGCCAGTCGGCCCCTGCTGATGCTGATGCTGATGCCATCTGATGCTGATGCTGATGCTGATGTTGATGCTGATGCTGCTGATGATATGATGCTGATAACGGCGACGATGATGTTGATGACGATGATGATGCTGATGACGATGGCGACGGCGATGATGATCCGATGATGATTATGATGCTGATGGCGATGATGGTGATGATGAGGATGTTGATGATGTTGATGATGCTGATGATGATGATGCTGATGATGATGGTGATGGTGATGATGATGGTGAGGTTGATGCTGCTGCGGGCCACTGCCTGTGGCTGGAGGGTAAAAGAGGAGGGCGATGGAAGAAGGGGGTGACAAAGCTCGGCCAGGTTAGTTGTGCTTCGGGGTTATGGATGATCTTCTGGTGGGGAAGCGGGGTCATGGGTCATGGGTTTCGGGTGCTTGGGGGGTCCTCTGGGTGTCGGGGGTAATGCTGATAGGCTCGGGGAGGGGGGGGCCTTCCTCCTCTTCCTCCACCCTCCTCCGCTCTCCTCGTTGTGCTGCTCCTCATCCCCTCCTCCTCGTCCTCCTCCTCCTCCTCCTCCGCCTCTTCTTCCTCCTCCTCCTTTCCTCCTCCTCCTCCTCCTGGACTCCTCCTCCTCCTCCTCTTCCCACTGCTCCTCTCCCCCCCCTCCTCCCTCCTGCCTCCTCCCTCATCCCTCCCTCCCCCAACCTCTCCGTGACATGCACGTGCGCCAACGCTGAACGCGCGCGCAAGCAGCGTGCGCGGGCGGGGCCCAGGGGAGAACGCGCAAATCCACTGCATGCACTATCACGCACCCACCCGCCAAACTGTCCAACCAACTGCCCCCCCCCCCACGACACGACCCTCAATCGTTCTCAACCCCAAGCGGCCTGAGGCCGAGGCCGCGGCCCTGAGGCCCTCTGCCAACACTAATCTGACGAGGAGCTGCTGCTGCTGCTGCTGCTGCCGCTGGGGGAGGCCGGTGGCCATGCTGGCGCTGCTGCTGCTGGCGCTGCGCCCGGTGGTGGGCTGAGCCAGTCATCACGTGTGATCTCTGCTGATGGCAGGGCTGCTTCAAGCTCGTCGTCTGTCATGAGTGGCAGGTCCTCTGGCTGAACGCCGAGGTGGCTGCCCTCTATTGGGTCCGCTCTGTGCTCGCAGCGCCTCCCAGCAAGGCACCAACCCTTGAAGCGCCGCAGGACAATATCCTTGGTCTCGGCTGTGAAAACCCTTGTTTTTTTGCATTGTGTTGTTGGCGCGTCACCAGGGTCACTGTGAAAGCGGCAAGTCGCTTGCCATCGCACGCCTGCTCCTGTTCTGGTGATAATAATCCTGAAGGGCCCCCATTCCGACCCTGTTCGCGGGACTCGCTCTTGCCTGGCGCGTGGTTGTGGCTCTGCTGCTGGTGATGGTGGCGCAGGCGCTGGTGGCGGCTCTGGGGCTGCTGGAGATCGTGGCGCGGGTGATGGCGGCGGCTGTGGGGCTGGTGGCGGTGCGGGTGATGGTGGCTGTTCTGGGGCTTGCTGTTCTGGGTCTGGTGCTGCTGGGGATCGTGGTGCGGGCGGTGGCGCTGGTGGCGCGGGTGCTGGAAGGTGCCCTGGGGATGTGGATGCGGCTGGTGGGTGCGGCTCTGGGGATGGTGGCGCGGGCGCTTGTGGATGCGCTGGCGATGGCTGTGCGGCTGCCTGTGTCGGCTGCGGGCTTGGCGGCGGCACAGGGCCTGGCTGCGCGTCTCCCCCACCAGGTGGCCCATCGTCTGGGTGATTGCCATCGCCGAGGCGGTCGTCCTCTGAGCCGCCCACGTCTTGGTCTGAACCATCACACTTGCTCGCATAGCCGCGCCCTTCGTCGTCGGCCGCCCCATCCATATCATCATCTAAGAGCTTACCCAGGGCATCCTCCAGCCTATCCTCCAGAGGCAGAGGTGCTGCTTTGATTTTCTTGCGCTGTGCCCCTTTAGCTTCAGCTCGGCGGCGCTTCGGTTGTCTGACGCACCCAGCGTCGTCCTCGATCGTCAATGCACCTGGAGCGTCTGTACCTTTCAACATCTTCGCATAACCCCCCGAAGTTCCAGTATGATGAACCACAACCGTGTCATCGCCAGCAGCCTTGAGCAAACATCTCAAATAAGCGTTGCACAGGGTCTTGTGTTTTCTGTTGTGGTACCAGAGCTTGGGCTCTCCACGCTTGCATGGTGGTGGTGGCGCGGTGGTCGGCAGTTGTTGGCCTCTCCAGCCCTGTGAGCGTAATTCGAGAAGGAGCTCGTACGTCGTGACATCTTTGTCTTTGATGCCCTCTCGTGGTCTGAGGGCTGGAACTGGACCATGAAACACGTCGTAAGAGCGCAAGATGCTCATGCCATACTGCGTCAGCTTGTGCCCCACTAGTTCCATACCGTGGTGATCGCAAGACTTGCCGGTAATACCTGCTACTTCCAAGAGATCCAGGGTACCAGAGTCACGCGCAAACGTCGGAGACCCGGGATCTAACGCTAACTCTGACTCTGAATCAACCCCGAAAGCACCACACTGCACAATATCTGTAACCAAAAGGACACCTGGATACTCGAGCTCACCAGGGAAGTTCTCAGGCCACGGCACGGGTACATACATTATCTGTCCTACTGGGGATGCGGAAGGTGAAAACTGAGGGCGAACATCGACAATTGAAAACTGAGGGCGGACATCGACCAGCGTCAACTCCAAATAGGACTGCACGGCGAAATGCCGCACACCAATACAACGCAATCCTTCCTCTCCCTCCTCCCCATCGTCCCCTTACACCGTTTTCCCCATTCCCCTCTTATTCGTCAAGCTCCATCCACATTATCATCTCCACCCCGATCCTTCTGATCTTCCCTCATCCTCGCTCCTCTTATCACTCCTACCTCTTCCTTCCCACCTCCTCGGGCTCCCACCTCCAATCCCCCTCATCCCCATCCGATCCGAGCCCCCACCACTGCGAGGTTGAGCACCTCAACCCCTCTCCC